TTATTATTTAGATTTATTAGTACTGTTGTAGATTTCATTACAGAGACAATATATTTGATGTTGCCACAAGCGCATGCACCACCGATTACAATACATGTACGTCATTTACATTTTACTACAGTCAAATGCTATGATGTTTCTCCATACAGAAATACGACGACACACACAAGAGGCCGCCATCGCTACTTCTGACCATTGCGCCACCTACTGACTTGTATGTTGTATCTTGTATTACTTCATACTTGCATGTTTATACCAAATAACTAATAATAAATAAATTATAAGCTTTTCGTTTATGCTAAATTCTTAGTGAAAACAAGGTCAACACCTTTTAATTTAGTTTTTGGTAAGAATGTGACTAGGGCTCTAGCCTTGCTCTAGCAGAGAGAGAGGATGGCAATCTCAAGGGGCAATCTTACTTAATTATGATATACTCAGTCGCGAGATGGCACCACTAGTTTTGCATCACAACGTGAATCACAAAGCAGAGAACATGTTCATGTTAATGTTATTGTTATTCACTTAGTGTTAGTGTTACACTTACAGACTAAAATATATACACCATATTATAACTCTGAACATCGATTGTTTGCACACTAGTGCTCAAGATGCAATGTTCATATGCTGATGCCAGGATGAGTATGGGCTTATTTATTGTCCTTTGCCTTTCATTTGAAATCAAGCAGATAACTTCATTGAAGCAAAGTGATGATCAAAGAAATGCAAATACAGCAACACCGTCTTCGACATGTTCGTAAGTCATTTTTAGCTCACCTTGACATCGTCAAGCTGAGCTATTGCCATGGGTCGTCGTCCATCGTCCGTCCGTCCGTCCGTCCGTCCGTCCGTCCATTCGTCTGTCCGTCCGTCAACATTTCGCTACGGTCAACGATAACTCAGGAACCGTTTGGCCCACATGTTTGAGATTGGGTAACTGCTATGCTCCCATATTAAACGTCCTATTTTGAAGCACGCCAGTCGACGTACTTTCGAGCCATGGCAATTTTTTGGCAAAAATGGGAATTGCCATTAGTCAGTTCAGGTTCAACGGATTTTGCTAAAATAAGGTAGGGTTTGGCAATATAGCATATTATATAGACACAAACAGTCTGTGCGTGTCACACTCGTCTTGGTTCGTTTACAAGATTTCATTGGACAATACGCTTGTTAATGCCAAAATTGGTATTTTCCTCCACCCTGCCGATAAAACGTCTAAATTAGAGTAAAGTTTTACAAAACATGTCGGAACGCAGCATAACCTATTTATTTTCAAATGCCATCACTAAGTCTACAAAGCGGGTATAGTGCCATCTACGGTCACAAATTGTGATTTTATTTTGGTTTATAAATTGATTATTGCGATATACAGATGGCAATCGTCTTCTATATGGTGTACGTCGATGGTGTGCTCAATTAAAAATTGACTTCTTGCTTACTCACGTCATTTGTGATCCTGTTTCTGTTTGGATTATTTGCTTGTGCTGTGCTTGGTGTGGCTTTAGTTCCTGGTGTTTTTCTTGGTTCTTGCTTTTTGTAGATCGTGTGCATTGAGTATTTTGGCGATGGGTGACTGGTTGTCGTTTTTTTGATTTTGTGAATTTTTGTTGTTATGTTGCGCTTTACTTCTTGTTGGTGTTAATTTGGTGTTTCTCTGTTCTTGAAATCTTCCCTAACTAACCAAAACGTACTCGTGTTGGTAAACACACTGGGTACTGCGCACTCAGAATTTAACCAGGGAAGTATTGATATTGTTTTTTCGTATTATGTCTGCGCATTGTATTTTTCTCGATATTTATTCGCCTTCATCAATTAGTTTTTAGCGATACGATGATGTCTATACTATTATATATATCGCATATATGCTCTGTTTCTGTAACGCCCGAAGTGTAAGAAACTGAATTGCCACTAAATTTCGTATTGCTACATGACTGGTAAGCTTTCGCAACGACGTACGATGCTGGTTCGAGTTGCGTCCTCGTTTACCTTTGGGCTTACTTACCTCCTAAATAACAAGTGAAACTGCTATAACTATTCATCCTTCATTTCCTATTCATTTCCGGCCTGGGTCTTGGTGAATTCGGTGTCTGTGGTCTTCTATCTGCCGTTATACACATTAAAATTTTACTACATGTGTTGTTATGGGAAAGCCAAGACTTGGACCAGGTTGTGATCGTATTATTTTTCTGTTTCTTCGTCGATAACTTAGCAGAATGATTTGTGACCATTCTCAGAGCAGATTTCGTTATCGCCTTATTTACTGCTCAATTTGCGCGTTTGATAGAATCAACCAAAAATATGTCTTGGCGAGGGTTAAGGCGTTTGCGCCCGCACACCAGCCCTCGATTCTTTACAAACGATGACAGTGCGATGGAAAGCGCATGAAGCTGGTATGTAAGTGTTGCTGCGGGCGCCCACACCCGATTCGTAGTTGAATTTCTTTCAATGTGGTTTTAGGTTGGTATCTCCACCCCGTACACGTGTTTTTGTTCCTGAGGTGAGTTGTGGGTCGGGTGGTGTCACCTGCTTGCACACTGGTACAAAAGTCGCGTGTCCCAGAATTGGAATCGGTTCTCGCGTAAAATCATACATGTTTGATTTTTGGAACCGAGTCTCACCCGTATTTAAAAATAAAGCGCTGTGACAACATGAGACGCGCTACACCTTGACATCGTTTTTCACGCTTCATCGCTTCATCGCGTCTCATCGCTTCATCAGGTTTTGTTGAAAAATCGCTTGTGTCCTAGTGTCGGCATCGGTGCTCCTTTATGCTCATAGGTGCTTAGTGCGTAGTCGCGGCCATGGTCTGGCGCTGAGCTCCTGCGTCAGCACGGCACCTTGCTCGTGGCACAGTATGTCTTGTAGGAGTTAAAAAAAAAATTTCGTGCATGGGCCGGAATCCATAGAGTGTGAGCCCAACATATATTCCAGGATGAGATACCCCGGGCTGGGGGCATCGTCACCCCACCCATTATGCGCTAAGTCTCATGTGCCGACTGCGAAGATCAAAAATTCGGGTGGGCTCTTTTGCCGAGTAGCTAACTCAGGTCCGTGAAAAATGGGGGTCTCTTGGAACTACGATAGGTGTTGAATGGTGGTGTATGTGCCGTGTAACTGGTGATGGTCGTAAAATATGGGGGTCGGCGGAACTCAGGATTTCGTTGAAACCTGCAATTGCTATGACTACTGAGCACACGTTTTAGAAGATGGCGTGGCCGTCTCCTGAACTGGTTGGCGGGAATGTTGTGTGTGGTGGATGTGAAATCCGTTCCGGGGCGCGTGCTGTCTAGTGATTTGGCTTTTAATCTATGCTTGTTAGGTCCACTATTGTAAGACCATTCTGTGCTTCGCTGTGTAGAATCCGGCCGGTGTGCGTCGTGTTTAGTTTATGTGCGATCATGTTTCAACAATAATTGTGTGTTTTGTATGATTATCGATAGAGTGCAGAAAAAACATGACCCGCGAGAAGAGATTAACGCACGCACACGCGCACACACGCACACATACACACACACACACTACACAGCACACACACAGCACACGACACACAACACCACACACCACACACACACACACACCCACACCGACACAAACACACAACAGCACGCACGCGCCGACGCACGGCACGCGTACGCACGGCACGCACACATACAACACAGCACACGTTGCATGCAGGCTCTGACGGGCCCGGCTTCGAAACTATTCTGAAGTACGATGCACTGGAATTTCGGAAATATTTAAAAACTAGCAGTTGTCCGGACATCTGGGCAAAAATGTCATATGATCTGATGGCCTAACAAACTTAGACTTGCTCTTTGGAACGAGATAGTTCTTTAAAACATTCGTATGCACTGGAACTGGGAAGTTGTGCGGTCTTGTTGCGCGGACTCGTAGTGGGTTAGCCTGCGTTGAAAATCGTGGCGTCTCTCCCGCGCACATACTCCTACTATGCAATATATAGTGGAGTGCCCCTCCACCGACCCAGCTATCGCACCCAGTTAAGGCGCCCTCAACTATTTTTCATAATATAGGTACTGATAAGTATATCAATTGTGTGGTTAAATAACGTTTTATTAGTTATCTATACTCATAATATATATTTTAGATACTTTTAGTCAAAACTTCAGCGTTGTAGCTGACAGTCCTCTTTTGAAATTTACCAAATTCGATGCTTTAATCAAATCATGACATTTGATTGCTGTCAAACATAATCTCTGGATGAGATGTGCTAGGAAAATGCTCTACTTTCCAGGGTCTCTACATTTCGAAATTGTTTTTCGTGGGGTCATGTACACCCAGACTCCCCGCATCGGGCTACATATTGGTTCTGTGCGTGGATGTGCCTAGCTTTTTTGGGAGGGGCCGACTACGGCTCCTGCGGTTATAATTAATCATTCTTCACATTAGCAAATGTGACGTGTTGAAAAATATTTGGCTGAAGCGTTCGCAGCTAAGCTGACTAATGAGACGAGATTATCGTCCTATACGTGATGCATGGGCTGAATATAGACCGCTAGAAAAAAGTGTTTTGCTACGCACAAAGGCGAAGCTTACATTTCTATATGGAGATTGTTCATAGGCATTGCTTCGCTGGCGTACTTATTCGTGTGCTGTCCATTACTGAGGTGTTTTCTGCCGACCAATATCAGTGTAGTAACACAAGTTTATTTACCAGTGATCTTTTTTTTTTGATTGACTTTTGCACCATGGTGTCGATATCCTGAACTTATTGACCCCTTGTACGTGGTCTTAACCATTAGTCCGTCCCATTAGATAATAGATACTGTTGTACCTTTATGACGTAGTTATGTTTCTATTCTTATCGCATCCAATCCACTGTGCGCGTCGTGGATGGGGGTGCGGCTCGGCGAGGGGCCGCGGATGGGTGGTAGGGACGGAGAGACGGGGGGGTTGGGGACTGTCAGACGCAAGGGTGAGAGAGCGGGGGGGGGGTGTGTGGGAGGTGAGGGGGCTAGAGGTGGGGCACGGGTGGAGTGGTGTGAGGCCGGACCGGCTGGGCGCTTTGACGGGTGTGGTTATGGGTGATCTCTGAGTGTGCCGTGAGGTGAGGTGAGGGTGTCAGATTACAACATTAGGACGGGAGGGTGGCTCACCACGACTAATCATCACTCCCGATTTATGTGGGGGGCGGTGGGAAGTGCGGAGTGAGACGACGAACAAGTGGGCGCGAGTGAGGGTTCAGAGGTGAGCGCGGGGTGAGGATGGGGGGAGAAGTGTCTAGTTGGTGGAGTGGCCTTGCAGCTGACAGGAGCCTCGTTACGCTAGTGAATCTGTATCCTACTGGGTGGTGTGTTGATGTTTTTGCTATCAGGTAAGGGGATCGAGGCGGGGGGTGTGTTTGTGGTGCGGTAGCGTGTAATGGGTTAGCTAGGCCGTAGGAGGGGAGGGAGGTGAGGTTTTTGTGGCACTTGGGTTTTAATCAGGCTGTTGTGGTGAAAAGAGGTTGGTGTGTGAGGTTTGGGCTGCATGGCGGGTGTAGTCGTGGCGGATGCGAGCCAGACCACAGGTGATGCGCGCAAGGGGGCCGCTACTTGTCGGGTGGGTGAGGTAGGATATCGAACGGCGAGAGGCGAGTCAAGCGGCTCTGATGTGGAGACGGTGCTCGCTCAGCACTACGTCGATGGTTGTGGGTTGCAATGGGGTGGGGTGCGAGAGGCTGGGTGTGGTGGGTTGGAGAGACGGCGTACGCGGTGGTGGGGTGGGGCGTGGGGTAGGCGTATAGAACATGCGTTGCGAAGTTACGTACTAGGTAGACTATGGTCACAGCAAGCGCTTGGAGTATCTATGAATGTCTACACACATCTCTTGCCGACTTATTGTATAGCCAGACATTTTGATCAGCTGAAACATTTAAAACCTCACGGGTGACCTCTTAGGGACGGCTGTATTTTGATTAGGTGATTGATTTGATGGATTACGACATCCAAATATCAGGCGTATATCCTATGGCGCCGAGCCAGTAGTGATATTTTGTAAGCTCGAGTTTCGGTCTTTAACACCTCTGCCTCGTTAATACCTGTGCCGTACATGGCCTGATGCAATGTGACCACTGCTATAGCTGATTAATGGCGGCTGTAAGGTTTAGTAACGACCTCGCTTACTTGTGGATATCCCAGCTCGCGCGTGTCTGTACACGTAGGTGGGGTTTGCTTGTGCTGTTGGTCACGGCGGTGGTGACGCCGGCTGCTGGCCGTAACTCTAGGTGGGTGTGCACCTCCATGGACCTCCTCGCTTGTACCAGACCATACAGCATCATTCAGTAATGTTTTCTCTGCTACTAATGTTACTCGTACCCGTATATCGACTGGAATGTACTGAGCCAAATAGTAGGACATAAACAAGCTTTGTATCGTAAGCATTAACAGATTGCAATATCATACGCATCCGGTCCGTACATGTTATGTTATTATTTTACATAGTCATGTGGTTCAATAGATGCAAAATCGGGTAAGCGAAAACAATCAAATTCGACTAGAGTAAAACCGTTTAAGAATACATCAAAACTATTGGTTTATCGTTTAACACTCTAATCATTTACGTTAGTATGAGATATCGATTTTAATGCGACTCTAGGTTTGCCGTGTATAACTTTGTCATAGACAGCTTGCATTTGAGCGCTCACCCCCCTCTGATGGGTCACCTCTGTGGCGGGTTCCGTTCCCACCCTCTCGCAACCGCGTGTGATCACAGGTACTTGGAACCAGAGTCAGGCTAAAACCTTAATGAAGTAATAGTAAACGCACAAATCAATCAAACATGCTTCTACGATACTACCCTGTCAATTATACGTGGTCCACTGGGGTCACTGTATTCAACTTGCTTTCACAAAAGCTAAATGTCAGAAACTAGCCGCTCCCGCCGACTCGGCCGCTGTGCGTTGCTGTGTCGCCGCTGCGAGTGTTGCTTGTGCCGTGTGCGGTGTCGCCTGAATATAATGATATATAAGGCTGCTTTCGGTGGAATATATATATATATCATTATAGTATTTGATCATTCGCTAGGTATATGGGATGGCTAGTGGAAGCTTGCGATGGTCATATATCACCGACTCGGAAGGGATGGGGACGCGAGCACTAGGCCACGACTCGAGAGTGCTGGGGGGTGGGGCGGCGGAGGTGCGGGGGGAGAGTGCGGCCGTGATGCTGCATTGGCTGTGGTGAAGGCCGAAGGGTTGATGTATACGTGTGGACGTATATGTTGTGACACGAGCATGTGGATAAGTGGTTAATAGTGGGAGTAGGTTTGTGAATGGTTGCGTTGCATATTGTTTTCTAGTTGTTTACTCGACTTTGTCCCAGAGTTGGCATGTGGCCTGTTGATTGCCCCGCTGCTAGGCCCTGCGCTTTATACGGGACTTTCAGCTCATCCCGCTTTCGCTGATATAAACACTATTGTGATCGGAGGAGGTAAAATACAGCACATTAGCCGCGCCATTTGGCCGATAGGTGTCACAATTCATGGCGACGTGTCCAGTTGAGCGGATATATTAGGTGAAAAATACGTCTCGCGATCATGAGTATATACGGAAACAAAATCATGATCAATTAGCACATCGGAAGCTAAAATTTTATGCTGCATGTAGTGTGATTTTTTTTTTTGTGATGCTTGTTCTTTTTTGTGCTTCATGTGCGTGTCCACATTGTGTTGCCTGTGGTGTAGTTATGTTGCTGGTGCCCTTGCGTGCGTGGCTTGGCGTGCGCTGGTGGGTTTGGCGGGCTTTTCATTCGTGTGCGTGTCGGCTGGCTGTGTTGTACGTGCGTGCGTGTGTGTCTGTGAGTGAGCCTACAGTGGGTCATTGACACTTTCATTTATGTCAAGGAAACAGATGCGAATCAAGCTTAATTACTGATAGTATAACTACGTCTACTCTAGGCTTAGCTTCCACCTGCCAGGAAGAAATCGGTAACTCGCAAAGAACGATATATTAACAAATTATTCATGTACTGCCTCTTCAACTTGTGAAGTTTTGTACATTTGCGAAAATGAGGGCCAGGATCGCAGGTCAGATGATTAGAGTTGCTCATTTGGGTACAGGAGTAGGAGTGGCTGGTAGAAGAATGAGAGAAAGTAGAGGAGGAGAGTGAGCTAAAAAAGGTAGACTGCATGGGAAGGATAGATTAGGTAGAGGAGAAGGAGTAAGTAGAGGAGATGGATGAAATAGAGTGGTAGAAAAAAGAGGAGGGGAGGAGGAGGAGGAAGAGAAGAAAGAGAAGCAGCATGAGAAGGAGAAAGGGGTAGATCAGGGGGATGAGGTGGAGCAGGAATACGGAGAGGAGGGGACTAGACCTATCAGGTGCAAGGGGAACAGAGCTTGAAATAACACCTCCCGCTATCAGAGACTCATAGGGGCACCCAGTAACATTCTCACAAATGTGCCATGTGACCAGTGGTGTAGTGTTATAACGCAGGCACAAAATTTACTGTCTACACGCATATTAGCACAATATGTGTTAAATGCGTAGTATCTGGTGGCAGCGTAAATATGTTTATGTACCCATGTTTATACAGCCATGTTTATATACCATTCATGATTGTTACGTATGCTGACCCTATACATGTACAACACGCGTACAGAGTTCAGTAAAGTAATGGAATACGTATTTACAAATTTTCAGAAGTGCTTGCACTGTAATGATGCCACCTACAGACTCCAGATACCGCTGCTGGGAGAACAACCTTCAGTATTTTACTGACCAACTGCTTGAGTCCATTTACAACTACACAAGTATCATAAGTCACATTGGTGGGTATAGCACTAAAGCCAAACTATTGTAGTTGCATTCTGATAAAATGTTGGTGTAATATGAAGATGGTAAACCTAAGCCATTTGATGTGAATCGTGTAAGTAGCATTAGGTGATGATCTATAATGTATATGTATATGTATATGTATAGTGTATAGGTATATGTGCAGCTATGCCCGAATCCATGTAATAAAGTGCTTGTCTCATTCACAGAGGCCTATAAGAGCTTACATTCTACCACCACTGAGCAGGAGATGACTAAGGAGTACTGGTCTGCCATAAATAAAACTGTGAAACGAAACGAAGGACCGTATGGAAATGAAGATTTAGTAGTCATATTCGAAATCATTTTAGAGAAGGTGAGTGCTGTTAAAAGGGATCCACGCTGTGATGTATTTCACGAAGCTATATTTTGAGCTAATTGAAGTCTGTTGTCCCCCAGCTTGCTCCTATTTTCTTCTTATCAAGTTTACAGTCACTCTGGTTTGGTTTTGGAGTCGGTGTTTATCATTAAACTGCAACTCACCTTTACGAATGTGGATGTCTTCTTTTCATTGATCCCATCCATGTGCAAAATGAAAATTTTTGACAAATGGGTAAATGTGAGCGTGTTAGCCAGGCGGGCTAACAAAGCGGTAGCTTCGCTAATCGTGTGACCGAACTCTCAGTTGTTTTGTTTCTCTCGACAGACGCGGATAACGGCAAATCGGACGGACTTCCGCGAATTTCACCACAACTGTCCGCTGCCGCTGGACTACGTGAACAACCTATGGTACTGGCTAGTGGCCGGCTTCGGCGTAATCTCTGTACTCATCTTCGTGGCCATGTTATTGTATGCACGGGAAATGAGAGCAGAATCTAAACAACTTCGCCTGCTGTACAACAAGGAGGCGATGTACTGAGGCACGTGTGTTATGTTAGACAGCGCCCCTACATTTAGATGGCTATATCAGTAACGACCCTCTACAGTAAAGTGGTACCATGACACCTAGTGGCCGGTGAATGAGATAACGACTCTCTTTCACATGTCGTTTGTACCAGTGCTATCACTTAGTAGTGCTTTGTGGGGTAAAGGGCCAGCATAGAGCATATATAACGATTGGTGATACTTTTGTTGAAGTGCTGCTAATTTAATAAGTACTCTACGTGGTTGCATTTTTGCGAAGCTTTCTTAAGCTATGTAACTTGCATATACGGGTCACTTTGAAGATGGTCATTTTATTGATGGTTGGATACTGAGTGATACTGTGCAAGTAAGTATGCTGCATATTTATATGTGAATGTGTGCTTGGAAAACTGCCCAGAGTAATACATGTGCCAGCAGGCACCCTCTGCAGTGATCTGTGCGTCAGCACGCGCCCTCTGCAGTGATCTGTGCATCAGCAGCGCGGCCCTCTGCAGTGACATGCGTCAGCAGGCGCCCTCTGGCAGTGATCAGTGGCATCCAGACAGGCGGCACCTCTGCAGTGATCTGTGGTCAGCAGGCCCCCTCTGCAGTGATTCTGTGCGTCAGCAGGTGCACTCTGGCAGTGATCAGTGTGTCAGCAGGCGCTCCTCTGCAGTGTCAGTGCGTGCAGCAGCGCCCTCTGCAGTGATCTGTGTGTCAGCAGGTGCACTCTGCAGTGATCTGTGTGTCAGCAGGCCCCCCTCTGCAGTGATCTGTGTGTCAGCAGGCGCCTATGCATGATCTGTGTGTCAGCGGCGCCTCTCTGCAGTGATGCAGTGCGTCAGCAGGCCGCCCTCTGGCAGTGATCTGTGTGTCAAGCAGGTGCCACTCTGCAGTGATCTGTGTGTCAGCAGCCCCTCTGCAGTGATCTGTGTGTCAGCAGGCCCCTCTGCAGTGATCTGTGTGTCAGCAGGCCCCCTCTGCAGTGATCTGTGTGTCAGCAGGCCCCCTCTGCAGTGATCTGTGTGTCAGCAGACGCCCTCTGCAGTGATCTGTGTGTCAGCAGGCGCCCTCTGCAGTGATCTGTGTGTCAGCAGGCCCCCTCTGCAGTGATCTGTGCGTCAGCAGGTGCACTCTGCAGTGATCTGTGTGTCAGCAGGCCCCCTCTGCAGTGATCTGTGCGTCAGCAGGTGCACTTCTGCAGTGATCTGTGCGTCAGCAGGTGCACTCTGCAGTGATTCAGTGTGTCACGCAGGCCCCCTCTGCAGTGATCTGTGCGTCAGCAGGTGCACTCTGCAGTGATCTGTGCGTCAGCAGGTGCACTCTGGCAGTGATCAGTGTGTCAGGCAGGGCCCCTCGTGCAGTGATCTGTGCGTCAGCAGGCGCGCCCTCTGCAGTGATCTGTGTGTCAGCAGACGCCCTCTGCAGTGATCTGTGCGTCAACAGTGGCACTCGGCAGTGATCTGTGTGTCAGCAGGCCCCCTCTGCAGTGATTCTGTGCGTCCAGCAGGTGCACTCTGCAGTGATCTGGTCGTGTCAGCAGCCCCCTCTGCAGTGATCTGTGCGTCAGCAGTGGCACTCTGCAGTGATCTGTGTGTCAGCAGCCCCCTCTGCAGTGATCTGTGTGTCAGCAGGTGCACTCTGCAGTGATCTGTGTGTCAGCAGGCCCCCTCTGCAGTGATCTGTGTGTCAGCAGGCGCCCTCTGCAGTGATCAGTGCGTCAGCAGACACCCTCTGCAGTGAATCAGTGTGTCAGCAGGCGCCTCTGCAGTGATCAGTGCATCAAGCAGGCGCCCTCTGGCAGTGATCTGTGTGTAGCAGCCCCCATCTGCACGTGATCTGTGCGTCAGCAGGTGCACTCTGCAGTGATCAGTGTGTCAGCAGGCGCGCCTCTGCAGTGATCAGTGCGTTAGCGAGGCGCCTCTGCAGTGATCTGTGGTCAGCAGGTGCACTCTGGGCAGTGATTCTGTGTGTCAGCAGGCCCCCTCTGCAGTGATCAGTGTGTCAGCAGGCGCCCTCTGCAGTGATCAGTGCGTCAGCAGGCGCCCTCTGCAGTGATCTGTGTGTCAGCAGGTGCACTCTGGCAGTGATCTGTGCGTCAGCAGGCCCCCTGCAGTGCATCTGTGTGTCAGCAGGTGCACTCTGCAGTGATCTGTGTGTCAGCAGGTGGCACTCTGCAGTGATCTGTGTGTCAGCAGGCCCCCTCTGCAGTGATCTGTGCGTCAGCCGTGCAGTCTGCTGCATGATCTGTGTTCAGCAGGCCGCTCTGCAGTGATCTGCTTGCGTCAGCAGGTGCACTCTGATGTGATCTGTGGTCAGCAGGCCCCCAGCTGCAGTGATCGATGCGTCAGCAGGTGCACTACTGCAGTGATCTGTGTGTCAAGCAGGCCCCTCGTGCAGTGTCTGTGCTGTCAGCAGGGCATCTGCAGTGATTGTGTGTCAGCAGGCCCCTCTGCAGTGATCTGTGCGTCAGCAGGCCCTCTGCTGTGATCAGTGTGTCAGCAGGCACTCTGCAGTGATCTGTGTGTCAGCAAGCCCCCGTCTGCATGATTGCAGTGTGTCCAATGCAGTGCATCCTGCAGTGATCTGTCGGTCATGTCAGGTGCAGCTCTGGCATGTGATCTGTGTGTGCAGCCAGAGCGCCCTCTGCAGTGGATCAGTGTTGTCAGAGGTTGCACTTGCAATGATCTGGTGTCAGCAGACGCCCTACTGGCAAGTGATCAGTGCGTCAGAGGTGCACTCTGCAGTGATCTGTGTGTCGTCAGGCCCCCTCTGCCAGTGAATCGTGTGTGTCAGCAGACGCCCTCTGCAGTGATCAGTGCGTCAGCAGACACCCTCTGCAGTGATCTATATGTGAACAAACACCCTTTACACTCGGACCTGTGTATCAGGTGTATGCCCTCTCACTTTGTACAGGCATCTCAGAAACCTGGTTGTGCTAAACGTATTTTACTCATGTACCATGGGTTTGTCGTATGTTTTGTAACAATTACCCGGTATGGTAGATAACGCTAAGATTACTCTTTTGTGGATGACGGTCTCGGCGAATGAAATGATGACCTACGCAACAAGTCTACCGTGCTATGGCGCTGTCAGTGTATTGCTGACGTTTACATTGTTTAAATGGTATTCCAAGTCAGTCACAACGGGATGCATTTTTTAGGAGTTGCCTCTGTTTTTTATTCGTTTTGTTTTCGCCATAAAAACGTTTTTGAACGTGGAGCCTTCCGCACTTTTTATCTTTACAGTGACATGTAAATATATCTGTTCCTTAACGAGCAGCAGTTTTTTTAGGAGTGTTGAATCTGTGTTGTAGACTGATATAACTGGTTGAACAGAAGTTATAGTCACTAGTGAATATGACGTTTACTTCAGGGATCCATATTGACATGAACACATCCATGATTACAAGAAGCCTACAATATGCCGTCTGAATTAAAGAGCCTAATAAGTTAACGTTATTAACTATAAATTTCAAGTGAAAATATCTGATGATTTAATTGTGTATCGATCAGGAGCAGGCATTTCTGTGTCTGTACTGATTTGTATAATCATGTATGTTATGCCACATTATGGGGTTACTTAAGATTGCATTGCATAGTTTCAAAATAGTGACACGCCATCTTGTGGTTGTACATATCTGAAGGTAGTGCACAACATCTTTCTACACTCATTTGTGAGTGAAGATCATACTGATTAAAGACTGGTTAATGTATGAACTATTTTGTGTATTTTTTATGGAGTAATTTCATAATTTTATGTTAATATTTTACAAACAACAAATGAATACATTTTGAGATTATCAGCTTTATTGGTCAAACATATAACAGTATATCATTAAAATAGGTGATAATGCATTGAGATTATTGTTTATACAAGCCTTTGCAATCCATAGGTTACACGCTCTACAATCTGGAATAGTTGTGTCGCCATAATCATATTCTGCTGCATCTATGGATGTTGGATGTCAAACGAATCGATAGCAAAGGTGTAGAATTAGGAATATTCCGTCTGCGTGAAACCGTATAGTATAAGCATAAATAAATAAATAAATAAATAATAATAGTTGTGATTTTTTCCTCCATTACCCGCAGCCCCTTGTTCACGGTGCTTCACTCCCCTCCACTTTCCCCCTTACCCCTCACTGCCGTTTTACACTATCCCACCATCTTTCCTCACCCCTCCACCTATCTCCTTACTCCTACCTACCTTTATACAGCATTCCCTCGTTTTTTATTACTCCTTGCTTCCCCTCACTTCTCACCTCTCAGCTTGCTACCTTCTCGACACCCTAATCTTCTATTATTCCCCCCTCGGTCCCTCTACCTATCCTCCTTCCTCTCTACATCTCTCCTTCCGCTCCTCCACCTTCCCGCACTCCTCCCTCGTCCCGCCCGTCTCAGTACGGACGTGTCTTGTCGATGGGCGAGCCACCGCTCATGTAGCCATCCTTGCTGAGGGGAGGCAGCCGCACCATCGACTGCCTCGCCGTGCCGCCTCCGCTGCCTCCGCTAGATGGCGCCTTGACGTATCTGCGACGGTCGGCTGCGCCGTGCGGTTCGATGAGCGCCTGCGTCGTCTGCCGCGTCAGCCTGCCGCCGCCGTTGTTCTGCTGCTCGTGCCGCTGCTGCTCGCGGTAACGCTTCTCCAGGATGACAAAGTCCCTGCGGAGCGAGCGATCACACGCGCTGAGCGACGCCGAGACACGTACAGAGCGCGTCACGTGTAGAGCACGCCACGTATGGAGCGCGTCACGTGTAGAGCACGCCACGTGTAGAGCGCGTCACGTGTAGAGCACGTCACGTATGGAGCGCGTCACGTGTAGAGTACGTCACGTATAGAGTGCGTCACGTGTAGAGTACGTCACGTATAGAGCGCGTCACGTGTAGAGTACGTCACGTATAGAGCGCGTCACGTGTAGAGCGCGCCACGTACAGAGTAGGGGTGGGATGATACGGGTAGCTCTCACGTTCTAACGTATTCGAGTTCTAACGACCACAAGCGAGAATCCTGATTATTTTGGTCATGTTACAATATACGGGAGGCTGATAATTTTAAGTAAAAAGTTGTCATACGTACCTGAACTCGATGAGACCGTCAGAATCTGTGTCCAGAAGTGCAATGAGTTCCGACGACTGATACTTAGTGAGGGGAACGCCAGTCAACTGTAAAGGAATTATGTCAACCGGTCACAGATAGGAACAGCAGGCAACTGAAAGCACTGCTACGTTAAAAACCCAACAAATAAATAACAGTCAACTGCAAGCACCACTAAAACACCAATAACATAATTAATGATTAGCAATCCCCTCTCATTAACTCCTGACCAATACACAACGTGTTAATTACCCGACGTCGACCAACCACCAAAGATTTAACACTCTGACCAAAGATCAACCGCATGCATCTGAAGGTCAAAGAAAAATCATGAACCTTTTTCATTGATCGCCATCTATAACCCTATACGTACCTTTAGTCCATCGAGAAGTTCCATCGTGCTAAGCACCATGTTGTGCTTGGTGTCCAACTGCTTGAAGAAGTCGATGAGTCGCAGGTTGTTCTTGGCGATGTGCCAGCGCAGGATGGTGAGTGGGCTCTCCTTTGTCAGGTCCGCATCGTCTGCTTGATACACGTAGAAAGCAGTGACACGAACATCATACGCAATCGCTACCAGCGGGAGAAAGTTGCACGTGCGTGTGTTATTACGTAGGGCCACGCGAGGGGTGGATTAACATCGCGTGTTCACGGTAACCACTCGGAACTCACGGTGAATATAAGCGAGTGAGCAGCGTAAAGCTTGGTTTACACTACCGACTTTGTGTTGGCGAATTGGACCAACTTCCCAGCTGTACAACCGACAATCGGCAGTGAAAACGCAAATGTTGCGCGACCAACCGATCGATAGCAACTAGTTGGCGAAATTAGAACATGTTCTAATCTCCCAACTAGTTGCTATCGATCAGTTGGTTGGCCGATTGTCGGTTGTATAGTTGGGAAGTTGGTCCCATTCGCCAACATAAAGTCGGTAGTGTAAACCCAGCGTAAGTTGCAATCTACGTGCTTGGCGGTACATGCTGACAGGGGCATGATCGTTAAGACGCAGAGAGGCTGAGCAGACATAGCAAGAAGTAATTGATCATCACCCGTATCACTGTCAGTGTCATCATCACAGCGATCATTTTCATCACTGTTTTCTTTGCTGTTGCTATCACCATCATTGCATATCAACGTCAGCAGCAGCAGCAGAAGCATCAGCATTATCATAATGATCATCCTCAGGAGCATCATGATCATCATAATAATCATTATCATCATAATCATTATCGTCAGCAGCAGCATCAATAGCAGTAATATTATCTGCAGCAACATCATCATCCGCAGCAGCAGCAGCAGCAGCGACAGCAGCAGCAGTAGCAGCGACAACAGAAGCGTCATCAACAGCAGCCTCCTCACGATCATCATCATCATCAGCAGCAGCAGCAGCAGCAGCAGCAGCAGGAGCAGCATCCTCATGATGATGATCATCGATCATAGATCATCGTCATAACGAAGAACTGGTCGCAGGATGTCGCGAGCCGTGGAGTAACGACCGACCGACGTCGCTAACACGGGTGCCGGCAGCGAGCGACGTAACGACGCGACGCACGCTGCCGACCCACGCGTCCACCACAGGTCGTGACCCTGCGACGGGTTACTCCTTAATGACGACGCGCGGGTACATACCACCGTCGGCGGGAGCGGCTACACTACCTCGGTACTTGGGTTTGGATCCGTACAAGATGGCGCCGTGCACGAAGCTGAAGCCGGGCTTGACCTTGGCAAGCTTGCGCGCGATATCGAGCATCTTGTTGTACACGGGCGTGTCCTGCGAGACGGAAGAAGGCGTTAGTGCGTGCAGCCGACCGCGCAGCCAATCAGCGACAGGCGAGTGTGCATCTGATGTCAGGGCGATCACCGTCCGTGACGTTGATACACGGGTTACTAGGGATTGGTATGGCTTCACGAAAATATCGTAACGGTGCATGCGCATTTCATCTGCAGTGATTTTGTTGCACTGTCACCGTGTGCGCAACATAGGGGCACCCCTATGAAGCCCTACCACACACTAGAACTCCCATCAACAGGGTATCTTATCATGCCTTCCTGTATTCTCGTGTCGATCTGATACTCTTACTAACGATATCTAAATCTCGTACCGTTTCGGTGAAGCAATATTTGTCAGTGAACGGGGCTCGGTTGACCCTGTACAACTCGCTAGCCAGCTATGCGTGGCATATATACTTTTGCTTACCGTAAGGTCGAGTAGAACGAGTGGGTGATGCTTGTTGTCGTATGCAGCTGACAGCAGGTTGCCTGAACTCTCTGGCTCCAGTGAATTCTTGCCAACCTAGTGAGAGAACCCCTTAATACTCTATTAGTGAAATGGACGTCGTCGCCCGTTAGTTAATATAAGCGACAGTTAACAAGCAGTAGGCAACGTTAACATCAAAATTGTAGTGAGATGCAACAAGAACCGATCAGACATTACAACGCAGACCTGGTCACTCAGGATATTGTGAATGCACACACTCTAACTCGTTTGCGTTCGCTAGAAAGATATAAGCCTGTTATAAGCCATGTATAACTTGTATTAATAATGTATAACTTGTACCCTGAATATCTCCAGGCGGGCGTTTACCCTGAGCGCTCGCGCCAGGGTTGGGACGATCCTATCATCGATGCGGTTAGCACTGATGTTGATCTCCACCATGGTGCGGTTGCCTAACAACATCTGTGCTACCGAGTTAGCGCCGTCGTTCCCTAATGCGTTCATCTCCAGGTTGAGTAACTTCAGCTCTGTATTTTTCTGCGAACGTTTGATCAGCATCCTCATATAGTCGAGGAAGTCATGATATATGAATGCGTCAACACGTGCACAGTCAAACCTGCATGCAGTAGCAGAGATTTGGCTGGCATTTCCCAGGTGGGTGGGTGGGGGGGGGAAATATATTTGGAGTGATGCTATTTAAATGTTTAATTTAACGTAACCTCTTTGAGTTTATTTATTTATGCTTGATAAGTCTATAAGTAGAGTAGATGTGGTTCTTTCGCTTGTCCTGGCTTAACTCGTGCCAACGTACTCTTGCTGCTACTGGTGTGCACGGGGTGGCAGGCACAGGAGAAGGGTAGGCCGGCCTACGTTGTAAGTTCCGCGATATTCAAGTGAGCGCGAATAGTAGTACCTCAAAGGCGCCTTGGCGATGGCGCTGCCACCTTGCGGTTGAATGTGGTTCCAACTTAGATCGAGATTTCTCAGGTGCAACGTTCTTTACTAGAGATGAGACAATTCGAGCGAGGGTGTTAAAGTTGACATATGTTCTATTGTAAGGCCACACCAATGTGGTGCACGTCCATGTTATTCTGCAGACCTAAAGCTGGGGATGTATGCTTCACAACTAGACCTTGTATTACTTGCGTGGGGCCGGGAGCGAGGGTTATGCTGGGAGGCCTAGTTAGGCGGCACGTGCCCACTTTTCCAGGTGACTCACATTAAGCCCTGGGTACAGCGTGGAAGACTGGCTGACCGCAAGGGCTTGACCCGTACTAAGTACGTTGACCCGAGTCACGATGAAGTCAATGATTGCTGCAGTATAGAGAGCTACACATTAGGCATATAATGAGCGTGACTAACCATGTGCCGGAGGCCGACGGCTACGGAGCTCGCGGCACGCTCTGCGCGCTTCCAAAACGCAACAGACGTGACTCATAGCGGAGCACCTAAAACCCATCTACACCGGTCCACCATCTATGATGGACATTACCTCCATCTGTGTGCGTCATAGCAATGTACCAATCTTCGATCAAGAGGCTAATGGCGGCTAACGCCTCCATTAGGAGTGTTCTCCAACTTTGATATCATTAATGATTAATGATTGATGATCTACCCTAACCCTACCCTAACCTAAATGACAATTAAAGTTGGGACACTCCTAATGGAGTATCACCCCTAATGGCGAAGACCAAAAGATACATGCACTGACTAATTCGATCGAGATGTGCATGGCGCACATTAGCCTATATATATATAATATATAATATATAGACAGATATAGCAGTGGCTTCTCCGGGTGGTTGATGGTAAAATAACAGAGATGCGAACCTATTGCCTTTGCGAGTAGGCTCAGCTCCTTCATTGCCGATAGTGTTGTGGCTCAGCTTCAGCTGCGAAGTCCCTTGTTCTTCTGTAAAATGACACACATGTTCGAGGCAATCCGCCAGATCGCCATGCATTAAGATCAACTCCCTTATATCCTCAACTCCCTATGAACCAACGGCGTAAAACTGTGGAAAGGCCGCGAGTCTAAAATCTTGAGTCTTAAAATCCAAATACTGATTTCCTAATCCATCAATTTCAATCAGGCGTACAAACTTTAGCTGAAAATCAAAGATCGGTCACGAGTAGGCCTATAACTTACGCGGCGCCTACGTTCAGGGCTCCGCGATTAAGTTCATTCACGAGCGCTATAAATCAGCCCACCTTCAGGGCTTTGCTAAGGTCACGGTGTAGTCTATAACCCAAGCCTACCTTCAGAGTTGCGCTAAAGTCACAGGTGGGCCTATTGAAGCCTACATTGAGGCTGGTTGAAGCCTATACGTACCTTCAGGGCTTCGCTGATGTCACGGGCAACCCTGTCTGTGAAGTTGTTACCGGACAGATCGAGGGTCTGTAGAGTGGTGTTGCGCAGTAAAACACTGACCAATGAGCGCCTCCATCATCGCCGAGTTGTTGTCTGCCAAATTCTGTGCGGAGACATGAGGAGGAAGACGTTAGAGAATAGGTATTAGGTGGTCATCAGCTCAGAGAGGACGCTGTGGTCTCATTTAATCTTACGTTGGCTTTTCATAACGAAATGCGAGCAATTCTGACTGCAAAATCTGAATCGAAGTCTGATATCTGAAATGTAAAATCAAAATTGAATAGAAATTTGAGATCGCAAGCGATCGGGATACAGTGAATTAGATGTGGGGAGATGGTGTGTGGGAATCACTGTTACTGTTCGTACGATGTCATCCTGCGCCTTTACTCTCCAATTGGACATGCAACACCCCCTCTATGCCAACCAACTCCGATATCCTGCTTGCCAACAGTTCGATTTACCCGTAAATACATGCCACGCACCAGAATCCTCAGGTGTTGTTGGTCTCCAGTACGGCCGCTAGTATGACCCGCCTCTCTCACTCAGATTATTGCCCTCCAGGTGCAAAGTGTTCACCGTTTTGTTCGCCTACAAGGAAACATTTCGTCATTGGAAACAGTTATTGCGAACAGCAACACGACTAGCCCCAAGTTACATTCTTCGCTTCCAACTAAGGGTCAAGAAACATCCTTACTACGACGCGGAAAACAGTGCATACAGCCTGCGGTCACGTGCCGAAAAGCGAAAAGGTAACTTGTGGCACAACACGACGTACTATCATGTCTCACGCCGCTCAGCGACTGAAAAACAAACTGCAGCGATGAAAACAGTTAGCCGCAGCATCACCGAGTAGAGAGCGAAGGTCACTATAACACGCTTAAAGGTCGCGGCACTTCACGTGATCGGCGAGCGTTGGAGAGGGAAGGGCTTCGGAGTGGACGTACCATGATGGTGGTGCGATCGGCAGCGTGCCCGCGCCCGCCAGGTTGTAGCCGCGATCTTCAGCTCTGGCGCTCTCGCGACGTGGTTGACGAAGTAGCATGAGCGGCGTCAGTCCGAGCTCCTCGCAGATGCTAACGTACATTTCCCTGTCGTCGCTGTACAGCGAGTCTGCAACATCCCCAACATGTCCCGATCACGAATGTGAACCCGATCTATCATGAATCTATCTATCTTAGTATCTATCTATCTATCTATCTATCTATCTATCTACTATCTATCTATCTATCTATCTATCTATCTATCTATCTATCTATCTATCTATCTATATCTATCTATCTATCGATCTATCTATCTATTCTATCTATCTATCTATCTATCTATCTATCTATCTATCTATCATCTATCCATATCTATCTATCTATCTATTCTATCTATCTATCATCTATCAATCATCTATCTATCCTATCTATTATCTATCTATCTATCTATCTATCATCTATCTATCTATCTATCTATCTATCTCTCTCTCTTTCTTCTCCTCTCTCTCTCTCTCTCTCTCCTCTCTCTATCTATCGATCTATCTATATATCTAATCTATCTATCTTATCTATCTATCTATCTATCTATCTATCTATCTATCTATCTATCTATCTATCTATCTATCTATCTATCTATCTATCTATCTATCTATCTATCTATCTATCTATCTATCTATCTATCTATCTATCTATCTATCTATCTATTTATTTATCTATCTTATCTATCTATCTAATATCTATCTATCTATCATGAATGTATCTATCTATTATGTATCTTATCTATGCGGTGCGCGACACTTCACGATCGCTGCAGATGCGAATTACTTCCAGTTCGTGTCGTCGAAACAAGCTCTCTCTCCTCTCACACACACACACACACACGTCTCTCTTCTCTCTCTCGCTCCTCGTCTCGCTCTCTCTTCTCTTATATAATATATATCATATATATATAATATATATACTATATATTATAATACACGGCGGAAAGGTCGTTTGAGATAACAGCCGCTGAGAAGCTCTCACGCCATCTCAATACACTCTGTTTCTCTCAGCTGTTTCAGCACGCACTTCATGTCCATACCACTCATGACATTTCACATTCTCACCATGTCACTACATGCCTCACCCATGTCACTAATGTCTAAACTCATGGCTCACCCGTCTACTCATGTCTCACTCATGTCTCACTCGATCGCCCTTCGATGTCCACCCATGTCACTCTCGTCTGCACACCATGTCACTCATGGCCTCTACCCTCTCACTCAATGCTCCATTTCATCGCCTCATGTCTGCAAACCCATGTTCACTCATGTTTCACCCATTGTCACTCATGCCTCACCCGTCCTCACTCATGTCTCACATCCTCGCCTTCATTTTTACCCATGGTCCACTCATGTCTCACCCATGTCACTCATGTCTCACCCATGTCACTAATGTCTCACTCATGCTTCACCGCCATGTCACTCATGTTCTCAACCCATGGTCACTCATGTCTCACCGCATATCACTCATGTCTCACGCCATCGTCACTAATGTCTCACCCATGTCACTCATGATTTTACACCCATGTCAGCTCATGTCTCACCCACTTTCACTCATGTTCACACCGTTCTCACTCATGTCTCACTCTCGTTATGTCCTCACCCATCGCATTGATGTCTCACCCATGTCACTCATGTCTCACCCATGATTCACTCATGTCTCACTGTCACTCTGTCAACTGTCACTCATTTTTCACGCAATGTCACTCTCATGGTCTCACCCGCTCTCACTCATGTCTCACTCATTACGCAATATCATGTCTCACCCATTGTCACTCATGCTCCTCACTCATCGCACACACAGTGTCTCCACCATCCCATCTCACTCCAAACGTCACTTGTCTATGCACCACTCACACCACAACCGCACTGCCAGTCTCATCCGTGTCTCAACTCACACGCAGCCCGCTTTCAAAGTCTCAGTGCATCACACTTCACCAGTCTTAGGTGTCATTATCTCGCATCAAGCACACGGCGTACTCACCAGCCCCGACCCGTCACATCTCCAGCCTCTCCCGCATCTCACTCACCCGCGTCTGGTGTCTCAACCATCTCACCTACCCGCGTCTCACCCACCGCGCTCATCCCCACGCCGTGTCCTCACCTACGCCGTGTCCGTCTCTACACCCGTGTCTGCATACCACCCATGTCCACCCGACCGCGTGTCTCAGCCTTACCCGTGTCTCATACACACCGTCGCTCACACACGCCTGTCTCACACACCCGGTCTTCACACAGCACGCGTCTCACTCACCCGCGTTCCATCCCAGCCCGCGTCCTCACGACACCGCGTCTTCACCACACCCGGCCGCTCTCACACACCCGCGTCTCAACACAGCCCCACCACCGCGCACACTCCACCCGCGTCTCACAACCAGCCGCGTCTCACACGACCGCGTTCCACAGCACCCGCGTCTCACACCAACCCGCGCTCGTCACACACCCGCGGTCTCACACACCGCCTTACACCGCCGTCTCACCACCACCCGCGTCTCACACACCCGCGTCTCACACACCCGCGTCTCACACACCCGTGTCTCACACACCCGCGTCTCACACACCCGCGTCTCATTCATCGCGTGTCGTCACACACTCGCGTCTTACACACCGTCTTTCAGTCACCCGTCTTCAGTCACTCCTAGCCACCCGTCTTGCCACCACGCTCTCACTAGAGTACGTCTCATTCACCAGCGTCTCACCCACCCGTGTCTCACACACCCGCGCCTCACTGACCCGTGTCTCACACACGTAGCATCGTGTCGTCACACACCGCGCCATCACCCCGTGTCTCACACACCACCGTGTCTGCACACACCGCGTCTCACCACACGGACCGCCATCTCACTAGCAGTGCGTCCTCACCATCCGCGCTCCTAGAGATACGTTCTCTATTCACCAGCAGTCTCAGCACCACCGTGTCTCACACACAGTCCGGCGTCTCACGTGACTCCGTGTCTCACACGGGTTGGCCGCTGCGCCTCAAGTCTACATCTTGAAAAGCATTAAAGACAATATAACCCATGAAGGAGCCGTCTCCGTGTTTTATTACAATGTGTGTTTTAGTGCAATTTCGGGACAGCCATACATACCCGTGTCCAGGCGCTGCGAATCCAGCTCCGACTCGATGTCTTGCGAGCGCATGCGCAGCCTCTCCTCGATCTCCTCAAGGTGCTGAAACTCCGTCATCACGTACACGTCGCTCGCGCCCGATCCGCTGCCGCCTTCCCGCTCCGTCCTCCTCCCCGCGTCAGCCCTTCCTGCGACCGCCCTCCCCGCGCCGACCCTCCGCTGTGGCACTGGCACACGCGATGCGCGCTTGGAGCCGTACGACGACGACGAATGCTGCGATCCGGCGACGCGGTCGGACGCGCGACGTCGCGAGTCGTCGCGGCTGGTCGTCGTTGGTGTCGAGTCGAGAGATGAGGCGCTGGCGACTGTCTCCCGCCGCGCGGGCGGCGGCGGCGGCAGCACCCTCTTCGCGCGGTGTTCCATTGACGTTTTCCTGATCGTTTAAAGCCGCATAGTAATTAAACTTAATATTAACGATTGGATAACGCGATTCACTAATTGCAAGTAGTTAGCGTGCGATGGATCGTCGAATTTCGATTGTTTGACAATGACTAAAAACGCCTGGAGATATGTATGTGCAAGTTAGACGCTACTATACTTGCCTTTGGGCTCCTCCTGCGTGTGCCATAAGCTCTCGATTAACTCTACCGATGGCTGTTGATGTGCTTTAAACGGACCGCAATAAGCACCATGGGTCTCATCACAGATATATTCAATGTAATTTACACAACACTAGATTCCGTTTTATGTTTTTCTCTTGCCGTCTATAGCGATGCGACCCAGACGTGCAGCTTGTCTTACAATGTGATTAGATCTGTTTCAGAGAGGCCTTGTATTACCTCTTTCCGTTGCAGTATTTACTCATCTGTTTACACTGTTGTTAGGATATGCAACGATGGCCAACCAGTGCTCATGATAACTCAATCAGCTGAAAGCTTTACAGTAACCTAAATGGAGTTCGGTTAATTACCAAGAAGAATTTTGGTTGCCTAGCGACATTAACCAACACTGATCCTCTTCCGTGTGGTACTTTGCAGTCTACAGCAGCTGGCTAATTAGGTGATATAGGGTAGCATAAAATATTTGTGAGCCTAGTAAGGGTTTGTTCATTCCTCTACTTGCATGAGTGAGAATGTGATTTGCATTCTAGCATTCTTGCACTGTTCATGACACAGTAGAACAGCATTAAGTGTGAGTAACGAATATACATGTACTAAGCTAGGCTCTATGATAATTAACTGCTTTTACTTGCATAAGCATCATCATCACCATCATCTTGAACATCACTATCATCGTCATTGCCATCGTCACCATTGTCATCGTAATCGTCACCAGCTTCAGCCCCAATATCGTCATCATATTACCACAACTGTCTTAGCTGGCAGCAGTACTTTTATGAATTTTTCTAACATGACGTTTTCACATTTTTCTTTGCTATATCAAAACAACACTCATAATAATATGCTCCTAGAAACACCAAAAGCACATACAAAGATATAATTACACGATTTTACTAGTAATTAACAGATTGCATATATACATACATAAGTTGTCACTCTTGCCTTGTGTCATGTTAACATTTAACAGAAAAATGACCAATGTCTTGAAATTCGGGGAAAATTTACGGGATATTTTATATATCATTAATCACATGACCACAATGAGCACAAACTGGTAATTAACCAAATAAAACTCTCAAACATTTTCAGACAGTGACACAACATGCGGGGTAATGTGTCGTAGCTCATTAGAAATCTTTACATATCAAATAACGTTGAGGTACGGAAATCTACACCAACTGGTTAATAATCTTATCATATATTATACATACAAGCTAACAAGCTTGATCTTTCTGATCTGATGCATTCAGAAAGTTTCATTCGAGATTTCCAAGTTTCAAATACAAGGTTACATGCTATGTAGCTCTCTAGTATCATCTATCATCAAGAAAATGATTATTTCTCATCGCGTTGTTCTGTTCTTTAATCGCTGAGCCTGCCAGTCAGATACATGCTCGTAGTGCCACCTGGTGTCATCAAGAAGCAGCTATTCTGTTCAGAGGCTCTTCCAAATAGTCAGCTAAGGCCTCCATCTGTAAAAGACGTGTACAAGGCATTGAACAGGAATTTCTACTACGATACTTACATAAATTTCAGCGAGATCGGTACGTTTTATTGCATAAGCGAATCCTGGTGTGTCATGAGTAAAATTACTCAAAATTATGAATAAAAATAATTACTATAATCCCCACTTTAACACGTAACATGTAATATATTACGTAAAATGCGCGCATATTTATTATACCTTTGCCTTGAGTATTCCAAATCCAACAGTATCCTTTGCATACACACAGAGCAGTAGATTTGCTACTTGAGTGATAGCTACTTTCCCTTCCTGCAATAATCATAACAGTGTATATGTATGAGTGCACTTGACTAAAATTGCATTCAATCATTATAGAAAAATTTCACACTAGATGCATGTCAGGGATATTATGCCTGTTGAATATATATATCAGGGTTCTCCCTACGTTGCGCAAACGGGGCGCGCGCGCCCCGTTTGGGAAAACTCCCCCCTGTTTGAATCGTTGCGCCCCGTTTCTGCTTGATAAGTCACAAGTAGAGTAGATATGATTCTTTCCTTGTCCTGGCTTACTCGTGCCAACGTACTCTTGCTGCTACTGTGCACGTGGACACAGAGAAGAGGTAGGGGCCTACGTGTAATTCCCAATATTCAAGTGAGGCGATAGTAAATACCTCGAGGGCCTTGGCGATGGCGGCTCCACCTTCCGGTTGAATGTGGTTCCAACTTAGATCGAGATTTCTCAGGTGTACGTTCTTTACTAGAATGAGACATTCGCAAGGTGTTAAGTTTACATATGTTGCTTTGTAGGCCACACGATGTGGTGCACGTCATCTTCACGTCATGTATTTCTTGAAGACCTAACTCCAGCTATTTATTGGCTATACCAACAACCTGACCTGTATTGCGTGGGGCATCGTTAGTAGGCCTATTAGGCCATGCACTGTCCATTTTTCCAGGTAACCCACATAAACCTGGTATCATCGTGGAAGACTTCTGACCAGGGTTGACTACTATATATACTGCTGACCAGTCACATGAATAATGGATTTGCAGGTAAAGTAGCTACCATTAGCATTATTAATAGCTTGACAACCATTGCCACGTACGGAGCTCGCACCTGCACTTCCAAAACCAACAGACGTGATCATACGAGCACTAAACCCATCTACACCGGTCCACATCTATGATGGACATTACCTCCATCTGTGTGCGTCATTAGCAATGTACCAATCTTCGATCAAGAGACTAATGGCGGCTAACGCTCCATTAGGAGTGTTCCCAACTTTGATATCATTAATGATTAATGATTGATAATCCTAACCCTAACCCTAACCCTAACCTAAATGACATTAAAGTTGGGAACACTCCTAATGGAGTATCACCCGGCCCTAGTGGCGAAGACCAAAAGATACATGCACTGACTAATTCGATCGAGATGTGCATGGCGCACATATAGCATATATATATATATATATATATAATATATAGACAGATATACAGTGGCTTCTTCGGGTGGTGATGGTAAAATGACAGAGATGCGAACCTATTGCCTTTGCGAGTAGCTCGGCTCCTTCATTGCCGATAGTGTTGTGGCTCAGCTTCAAGCTGCGAAGTCCCTTGTTCTTCTGTAAAATGACACACATGTGTCGAGGCAATCCGCCAGATCGCATGCAATTAAGATCAACTCCTTATATCCTCAACTCCTATGAACCAACGGGCGTAAACTGTGAAAAGGCCCGTTGAGTCAAAATCGAAATACTGATTTCTAATCCATCAATTTCCAATCAGAGTACAAACTTTAGCTGAAAATCAAAGATCGGTCACGAGTAGGCCTATAACTTACGCCTACGTTCAGGGCTCCGCGATGAGTTCATTCACGAGCCTATAAATGCAGCCCACCTTCAGGGCTTTGCTAAGGTCACGGGTGAGTCTATAACCCAAGCCTACCTTCAGAGTTGCGCTAAAGTCACAGGTGGGCCTGATTGAAGCCTACATTGAGACTGGTTGAAGCCTATACGTACCTTCAGGGCTTCGCTGATGTCACGGGCAACCCTGTCTGTGAAGTTGTTACCGGACAGATCGAGGGCCTGTAGAGTGGTGTTGCGCAGTAAAGCACTGACCAATGAGCGGCCTCCATCATCGCCGAGGTTGTTGTCTGCTAAATTCTGTGCGGGAGACATGAGGAGGAAGACGTTAGAGAATAGGTATTAGGTGGCCATCAACATCAAGCCCAGAGAGGACGCTGTGGTCTCATTTCAATTTTACGTTGGCTTTTCAATAACAAAATGCGAGCAATGCTGACTGCAAAATCTGAATCGAAGTCTGATATCTGAAATGTAAAATCAAAATTGAATAAAAATTTGAGATCGCAGCGATCGGGATACAGTGAATTAGATGTGGGGAGATGGTGTGGGAATCACCGTTACTGTTCGTACGATGTCATCCTGCCCATTACTCTCCAATTGACATGCAACACCCCCTCTATGCCAACCAACTCCGATATCCTGCTTGCCAACAGTTCGATTACCCGTGGATCCTTGTAAATATGCACGCACCAGAATCCTCAGGTGTGTGTTGGTCTCCAGTACGGCCGCCAGGTACTGCCCGCCTCTCTCACTCAGATTATTGCCCTCCAGGTGCAAAGTGTTCACCGTTTTGTTCGCCTACAAGGAAACATTTCGTCATTGGAAACAGTTATTGCGAAACAGCAACACGACTAGCCCCAAGTTACATTCTCGCTTCCAACTAAGGGTCAAGAAACAATCCTTACTACGACAGCCGTAACAGCTTAAAACAGTCGTACAGCCTGCGGTCACGTGGCGAAAAGCGAAAAGGTAACTTGTGGCTACAACACGACGTACTATCATGTCTCACGCGCTCAGCGACTGAAAACAACTGCAGCGATGAAACAGTTAGCCGCAGCATCCACGAGTAGAGAGCGAAGGTCACTATTACACCGCTTAAAGGTCGCGGCACTTCACGTGATCGCGAGCGTTGGAGAGAGAAGAGCTTCGGAGTGGACGTTACCATGATGGTGCGTGCGATCGGCAGCGTGCCCAGCGCCCCCAGGTTGTAGCCGCGGATCTTCAGCTCCGTCTCGCCGACGTGGTTGACGAAGTAGCTGAGCGGCGTCAGTCCGAGCTCCTCGCAGATGCTAACGTACATTTCCCTGTCGTCGCTGTACAGCGAGTCTGCAACATCCCCAACATGTCCCGATCACGAATGTGAACCCGATCTATCATGAATCTATCTATCTTAGTATCTATCTATCTATCTATCTATCTATCTATCTATCTATCTATCTATCTATCTATCTATCTATCTATCTATCTATCTATCTATCTATCTATCTATCTATCTATCTATCTATCTATCTATCTATCTATCTATCTATCTATCTCATCTTACTATCATCTATCTATCTATCTATCTATCTATCTATCTATCTATCTATCTATCTATCTCTCTCTCTTTCCTCTCTCTCTCTCTCTCTCTCCTCTCCTCTTCATCGCTATCTATCTATCTATCTATCTATCTATCGATCTATCTATCTATCTATCTAATCTATCACTATCTACTCTATCTATCTATCTATCTATCTATCTATCTATCTATCATATCTATCTATCTATCTATCTATCTATCTATCTATCTATCTATCTATCTATCTATCTATCATCTAATCTATCTATTTATCTATCTATCTATCTCTATCTATCTATTCTATCTATCTATCATGAATGTATCTATCTATTATGTATCTAATCTATGCGTGCCCGAACACTCACGATCGCTGCAGATGCGGATTACTTCCAGTTCGTGTCGTCGAAACAAGCTCTCTTCTCTCTCACACACACACGA